TAAGTCCTGCAATAGGGGGGCAAAAAAAAACCCCCCCATGAGCAAATTTCGCCATGCAGCTTCCTGCTGCTGGAGCTGGTGGAGTCAGCGCTGCCTCAGGGAGCAGGATCCGGCCCCGAAGCGCTGGGATGCCGGGGAGCACTAACCCCCCCTCTCCTCTCGCTGTCTAAAAAACTCTACTGGAACTGGCCGGGCACCATCCGGGTCCCTGCGCCATGCAAGTATGCCCACAAGCTGGCATTCCTCTCGGGGCAGGTCCTGCACCACGAGGCCAGCGCCCGGCTCTGCGACAAGCTCTTCTTCCTATAGCCAGCGTGCCGGCAACGGGGGGGAGAACGGGCTCCGTTTGGGATTCGGCTCCCCCAGCCGCCGCCGGGAAGTCTGCTGCCACGAGGGCTTTCCTTAAATATGTTTGTTGTTTTGTTTTGGTTTTTATTTTCCAATTTATTTCGGCACCTGGTTTCTTGGATTCATTTTTATCGTTGTTTTGCAAGGATGTTCAGAAGTGCTCCGGCACGGCGGCACAGCCCCGGAGCGATGCGCTCTCGGGATTCATCTCTATAGGGAAGAAGCCGGAGCAAAACCAGGATCACCAGCCTCTGCCTGCTGGTTTCCAGTCCTCCCAGCAAAGGGGTTTTGAGTAAACAAGCCCCAAAGGTGATGCTGCTCCCACGGTGCAGGCTCATCCCTGCTCCGTGCACGTGCTGGGTGTAAAACCCAAAGATTTCTGGTGGTTTTTTCCCCCCGATTTCTGGCATTGCCATCGGGACAGCTGCCGCTTTAAAATTTGGCTTTTTGTGTTGAACAAACCCAGCTCCCGTTCGGCCGGTTGTCACGTCCTTAAAAAATCACTGGTTTTTCAAGGAGAAGCCTTGATTATTTCTCTGTTTTGTTCTTCTGCCAGGCTGGCAGGAGAGCAGGGCGCTATCCCACGGGAAAAGCGTTGGAGTTTTCAGCCATTTCAGGTGTTTCTTTGCTGTGGTCAAGAGATGGTCGAGACCTTTGAGTTTGGAGCTGTTGGGGGGGTTGGAGGGGCTGCAAGAACATCCCCAAAACCACCTGGATTTCACCACGGTGTGCCCCCAGCCCACCACTTGTGCAAGCACCAGCAGGGATGGGGGTACGGTGGGATCCTCTCCCAGCCTCTCCCTTCCCTTTTAA